TAATGATGTACAGAAAGTTTAAAGCAAAAAGATTAAAGAAGCTGTTGCGTCATCGAGGTCACGTGACTGGTGTGGCGCCACCTATTTCTAGAACTATCCTGTACCTTGGCGAATGCTCTAGTATTTACTAGATATAGGGTAGTCTGGTATATAAAAGAGGGTGAAAACGTGACGGGAGAAGAAGGTAATGTGTGTGTAGGTAATGAGTAATTGAACTGCAGTCACAGGGTATTGTTGAAGTTAACGTTCGTTCGTTATAGTGTTTGTTTTAACGCGAATATTGAAATTAAGTGTATCGTAAAGTTATATTCGGAAAGAATAAACCAGTTTTATTAAGTAAAGACTTGTGTCGTTAAAGGTTTCGTCGGAACGAAGTTACGGGAAGTTAATTAACAAACGGAGACGTAACAAAGCCATAGGAAATGTATGAAAGAACATTAAAACCAAATAACAGAAATTGTTTAAGTTGCGACTTAAGAGGGTATACTGTCAAGAACTGTAGAAAACCCTTTAGAAAATAAAAACTGCTCCCAAAGGATAACTGGGAAGGAAAACTGCCTTAAGTGTAGAAAACATGGTCATTACATCCTACAGAAAATAAAGGACAATGAAGCGGAATAAGCCTGTATGGTTTAGTAAAGGTTTAAGAGATCATATTAGGGATAAACATAACTCATTTTAACATAATAAATTTAAACTTACTGGAAATAATAAGGACTTGTAGGACTATAGGCAATCAAGTGAGCTGGTTAAAAGGGGAGTTAAAAGTGCAAAACTGTATATGAAAGAGGGTTGGCTGAGAGAGTTAAATCAAACAATAAGGAATTATTTAGATATATAGTGGGTAAGAAAAATGTTAGGATGGTGATTGAGCCCCTCAAAAATGATAGTGGGGAGCTGATCTCGAAATATTATGAAATGGTAAACTTATTAAATTATATGTTCTCTTCAGTTTTTACAAAGAAAGATACGAGTATTATGCCCCAGAGCACTTAATGTATGGAGAA